CTTTCTGAGATTGCTGCTTCCTCCAGGCAGGCACCAGGAGGGGCCAAGTCTTTCAATCCTCAAAGCTCTGCTGAGGCCCTGATTGCTAATCCCATTTCATTTGGGGACGTTCGGGCCCAGAGGTTGACTTTCTGGCCCTAGGTTTCTGCTCTGGACAGAGGCGGGTGCTGCTGGCTCTCTTGGGCTCTTGTGGGCTTGGCCTTCCCACCCTGCAGACGAAGGGCTCTATGTCCACCTGGCACTGGGACACGAGGTGCAGTCACCTGTGAATGCAGTAACCCCACTCCCTCCAACCCTGTCCAGACACTGTCTGGTGGTTGTAGACACTCTGTGTTCCTGTGAGGCCCCAGAAGAACATCTGCATGTCCTGTTCCCCTCCCTCAACTCTGGACTCTGGCTGGCAGACAGGACCAACATGTCCCCAAGGGTGGTCCACAGAGAGCCAGCCAGGGCAGGGTGGGGGCAGATCCTGGCCCCTTGGGTCATGCCGAGGCATCCAGACTGGAGCCTGCCCTGGGAGCCAACGTCTTCCCTGGGGATGGGTGAGCAACAGCTGTTACCCTACAGGGTGGCTCAGCAGTGCCAGGTCACCCTTGATCTTCCCACCTTGATGAACCACCTAGCCGGGAGAGGTGAGGGTGAGGTACTCAGGCCTCAGAGACCTTTGCCCCAGCCGTGCCCCTTGGAATGCTTATGGGGTGAGGGGCACCCTGAACACCAGCTCTAGGCTTCTGACTTGGACCTTGAGACCCCTGTGCCCTCAAACTAGACTGACTGCTTGACCGGCCAGGTCCCTCACACATGCTGGCTGACACCTAACCCTGGCAGGCTAAAGGTGGCATAGGGCAGGGTGGCACAGCAGGTGTCACTGCTCACCTTTGTACAAGCTTCACACCCTTGTGGGCTGTGAATTCCTCACTGAGAAGTAGGGTCACCACTGCAGCTGCCCCTCCAGGTTTCTGAGCAGCTGCCAGGCCACCCTTCATTGGCAGTCTGAGCTGGAACATAGGTGGGGCACCACACACACTTCGGCAGCCCTATGGCCTGCACCACCTTCCCTCCTCAGGCTGGGCTCGAGCCTCAGAGCCTGCAGAGTCAACCACGGAGAGCTTGGCACTTGGGGTAGGGCAAGGAGAGAGGATGGAAGACAGGAGCACACATCCTGGTCTACCCAGGAACTTATCACAAGCCCCTTTCCCCCAGGCCCTCACCCCCATCCTTCAGAGGCAAATGTGCCTCAGTTTCCCTCACTTGGCCTTTCTTCTTGCTCTAGGCTAGGCTCCCCCGTGTGGCACCTGTGGTCAGCCTGGTCAATGGCAGGCAGCCCAATGTGTTAGGGTTCCAAGCTGATTCACGGCCACCTAAGGTACCTCTGTCCCCAGAGAGACACACAGAGATCCTAGTGGGACAGGCAGGTGCACACAGCCCTGGGCTCGGGGGCAGTGCACTGTTGCAGAGTGAAGATAAGCCTAAGCCTGCCTCTTCCATCTGCACTCTCTATAACAAACCACGGCTCCTTCAGACCACGTCCACTCTTGAGTGGGAAACCACCAAGGTCAAAGGTTTCCGTGTCATACGGGCATGGCAGGCTAATGGGGGAGTCTGCTAGGAAAGGGGAGGGAAGAAGAGAGACCTGGCTTCAGGGGAGAGCACAGCTGGGGCAAAGGCTTGGTGTTGGGACCACCAGGTCCCCATCTAAGGAGACAACCTGGCTCTGACCACATCTCCCACTCTAATATCCCCACAGCTCCCTGCTTGTCGGCAAGGACAGGGAGGCCCTGCTCACCTGAGGCTCCAGCTGGCAGGAGCTCCACGTCAGCACCACTTCTTGACCTGTTTGGTTTTTAGATACAAAAGTGACAACTGTCAGCTCTGGAAAAGACATGAACTGCCTCGCCTGAGCCCCTGTGTGCCTGTCCCAGGTCACCCTGCCACTGAGCCCACTGTCTAGTCCAGTGCTTCTCGCCTGGCGGCACACCCCTTGCAAGGTCCTGGATGGTATGGTCTCTGCAGCCAGCCCTCTGCTGTACAATGCCAGTTCAGTGATGACCAAGGCCAAAGCTTTGTACTCCAGTGGGCAGGGTGTCTGGCATTCCCAGGCCAGGTGACCAGAACCCTGCCAGGCTAGTGCATGGATGCTCTAGGGCCCAGAGGAGGGCAGGAGAAACACAGAGAAAGGGATAGACTGGTGCTGCCCTCCTAAACAGAGGACCCTGGGGCTCCCCAGAGGCTGTGGCTTCCCTAGGACATGGGAGGTTGGGGATCCCCCAGCAGGAACTCTGGGAAGGGGGTCTCAGGACCCAGCTTGAGGCTGCAACCTCTGCAAGGGCCAGCTGAGCAAATCAAAGCCCACCTCGCTGCAGACTGTCCTGCCCCAAGTGCTCTCACAGGAATTGCACAACAGTGGCAAGGCTGGTGAGACAAACGCAGTCAGGAAGAGATGTGAGCAGTCACATAAGAGGAGCACCCAGCAGGGGGCTGCTGGGGCTGAACCCTATACTGGACAGAAGCCAGACCCACTCAGGTTCCCTGCAGCCCTGCACTATGTGACCTTGAATGAGGCAGCCCCAATGAGCCTCAGCACCTCTGTCCACTAGTGGGGGCCAGAAGATCAGCCCACCAGGCTGTGGAGGGAGCCTCCCCATCCATCCCTGAGCACCCATGCCCCCCACCCTCCCAGCTGGTGAGCCGTCTATCACTGACACTGACACCCACTCTATGGTCTCTGTTCCTTCCCACTGCACCTGCCACCCGGGCTTCCCACTCCAGCCTCCTGGAGTAGTAAAATGCCCCCACAGGCCTCTCCTGGCCACCTAGCCACTGCTGCCCTCACCTGTCCCTCAGCCAGGTGGAACTGCCCTACTTTTTTCTGCTCTGTTCCCAAAACGGCACTGTGTACCCTGGGGAGTCCTGCTCTGCCCCATAGCTCTGGGACTCCCATCTGGACCTCGCAGGCCTCTGATGGGCAAGGAGGCTGGCCGTGGCAGTGCCCACCCCCAAGATGCTCTGAGGAGGGTGCTCGAACACTTACCCTCCCAGTCCTTATGTGCCCCAGTGACCAAGATACAGACACTGTGACCCCGGTGGGCTCTGCCCGATCAAGGGAGGACTCACACTAGCTCAGGTGGATAAGGGAATAAAATGGTTCTGGGTCTGTGACCCATTCCTGGAGCCTTTCTAGGCAGACAGGGAAAGACATTAATCACGTGCTGGGGTATGCTGAGGAGGTGTGATTTGCTAGGCTCACCTGTCCTACAGACCGGGGGTGACCACAGGCCTCAGGGACAGTAGGGAGATCATCCCGAGACAGATCAATGAGACCCTTCTCAGCCAGCCTAGATGAGGGCTGGGTGGCCGGGGTGGGCAGCACAGCATGAATGGCACTCCCTGAGCAAAGTTGCCAGGGAGTGAGCAGTCGGCAGACACCCTGCCATCTGCCAGCTGCCACCTCCCAGGCCCTGCCGCAGCCCTACGGGGTCTGCCTGTGGGCAGGGTGCCGGGCAGGCCCCGGCAGGGGAGGAGCCAGGCCGCCAAGACAGGTGTGTGGGAGGCCGTGATGGGCAGGTGGCCCTTTCAGGATCGGGCGGATGTCTGGAGCGAGCAAGCGAGGCAGACAGACGGTGTCACCTCGAAGTCACCTCAGGCTTGGCTTGGGGCCATGGGGAGCCGCACCCCCGCCTCCGCTGCTCGGATTGGGTTTCTCCCCATAAAGCGGCCAGTGTCTCTGCTCAGCAAGCCATGCCAACAATGCAGTCTGGGGAACTGGGGGGTGTCCAGGGGCTCGGGCGGAGGCGGGTCTCCCTGCAAACACGGCCTGCAAAGCAAGAAGGAAGCATGAGCAGTCTGTGGCTGACACGGGCCAGGGCAGGGCACCCAGGAGAGGCTGCACCCGCTGTGCGTGGGGCAGGGCCGGGACCATGGTGAGGACAGTGAGGCACGTTAAGGAGGCCCAAACCTCAGACTTCAGTGCAAATAATGTCTTATTGAGAAGTTCAAAGAGACAAAGATCAATGCATAAAGGTCCACATGTAAAAACATCAAATAAAGACTGAGACAGGCCAGGGTTCCTGCCCCTTTCCCAAGCCTCAGGCTGCCCTGTGGGCTTGGCCACGGCAGGAACCCACCAGCCACACAGTCCCTGAGAAGATGCCACAAGGGTGTGGCAGCAAAGCCAGAGCTGGGTGTGGGGGTGCCGAGTGCCCCCACGGGCCTTTTTATTGACACTTTCCCTGTCTGGATCTCTGAGACAGGCAACCCTGTGCTCTGAACCCCATCTGACTCCCTGCTTCCTGGTCCCCCACGGCCACTGAGCTCTTGAGGGGAGGGGGCCTGTCGTGCTGTGGCCACATGCCACACCTAGAGCAGGGCCAGCTACTCAGTGGGCACTGAGTTTGGCTGCCCACAGATGTGGCCTGTGACTTGTGGCAGCCCGGTCCACGGACCCTGCTCTATGGATGCACCTACATCCACGGGGCCACAAGCTGCCGGAGGGCAGGGTGCTCTGGGGGCTGCCGGGCCAAGGTTCGAACCCCACTGTGTCTTTCACCACCAACAGGCCTGGGCAGTCAGCCCTTGGGCCTCAGCTGCTTCCTCCATAAATTGGGACGGGACAGAGGCAGCTCTAGGGTCGTTCCTATAAGCTCAAGAAAACACCTGTGCTTGGAGCCCAGAGGGGAAAGGGAGGAACGTGCAGCCATCTCCTCCCATGGGGATCTCAATCTGGGGTTCAACCATTATGCAACAGTTTTAACCTGGAAGACCCATACTTATCTGAAAATATTCCCAATCAAGCTGCAGTGTGGGGAGGGAGGGGGGGAGAGGAAGGGGGTGACCAGATGCAACCAGACCAAGAACGCCTGGGCCAGCCCTGCCCTGTGACAGCCCCACCTACTGGTACTTTTCCTGCCTGGGAACCTGGGGCTCCCGTGCCTCCTGGAGGCTTCAGGCCTGGCCTGGCATGTGGAATGGCTCAGGTCTGGGCGGGCAGGTGGCATTCCACTGTTCCATCTTCAGCGGGGTTTCTGCAGAGAGAAGGCAGGGCCTGTGCAAACTTCACTTTGTGGTGACAGAAAGTTCTGTCCAGGAACCGCAGGGAGAGGAGTCTGGGAAGGGCGTGTCCAGCAACCTTCCCAGGCCGCAAAGGTTCTGCCAGGGGCTCACGGGTGTCTGGAAAAGGGCCCTGCAGTTAGTCTATGCAGGGTCCCTTCCAGTGAGGAACCAACTTACAGTTATGTAGAGTACACCTGGCACAGTGGGGTCCACCTGGCACCACCCTATGCTGCCCAGAAAACCATTATTGATCTATCTCTATCAGACACCACTTCCAGTTCTTCACATGCAAATGTCTCTAACTTCTGCCCTAAAAGGGACCTATTACAGGGACTTACAGGCACTGACATCTGGCAGGCAGGCAGAGCACACTGTCCCCCTGCTGCTGCTCTCCTCTCTGATGGCTGCTGGGGACTTCCTAGAGATGCCCAGCTGTGCTCCTGGCCCTTCAGAAGGTGGTTCTTCTGACCTGCTGGTGCTGGGAAGTCAGAGGAGTGAGCCTGTGGGCACGAACCAAGAGCAGAGGCTCAGAGGAGGCCCAGAGGCGTCCACTGATGGGGAGATGTTCCCTAGAGCAGCTGAGGTTTGTGGGGACGGGGTCTTGTGTGGAAAATGAGGCTGTGGGGTGGGAGCCAGCGGGAGGAGCTGCCCCACTTTCGTGTCTCACAGGCAGGTCCAGCCCTGGAGAAGCCCAGCTGACAGCAGCCCCACTGTCTTGGCACGTCCTCCTCCAGGAAGCCAGGCCCTATTTCTGGGGAGGGCAGTGCCCGTCTCCAAGCCTGACTGGGTGCCCAACACAGTGCTGGGCCAGGGAGCCCCAAGCTCCTCCGGCAGGTCAGGAGCACGAGGAGTGAGCGGAGGCCAGCGAGGGCTGCCTTTCTCCCCAGGGGCCCAACTCAAACCCAGCCCCACTGGGGAAGTGGGGAGCCCACTTCCACTTGGGCAAACATCATTTCTAGAATGGTCCATGCTGGCCACCACCATGACCGAGGACACCCTCTACAGCATGGCTTTAATTACGGTTCTTCTGGGCTCTGGTTCCCAGGATCTCTGTCTGCTTGGCGGGCAGTCTTGGGGTGGCGAGAGGGCCGGGCAGCGCTGGGTGAGGGGCCAAGACTCCCAGACCGCCTTGCCAAGCACTGGCTGCTGCCAAGCCCAGGGTGGCCATGGCCTGGGTCCGGCTGGGGCAGGGGCTGGTGCTGGGCTCTGTCCAGGCTGCCCAGGGCAGGTGGCTGTGCAATGGTCTTCCTCCCTCCGCTCCTCCCGCAGGCTGTGCCTGCCTCAGCTACAAAATGGCGGAGGGCTGTGGCGGCCATTTTGTGCAACCCTCTGGAGACAAAGACGGAGAGAAGCCAGAGGGCGGGGACCAGCCGGGGCAGCAGGCAGGGCGGAGGCCGCCGTCCACTCAGGAAACACAGCTGCCTGCCCTGCACTGAGGACCAGAAGGGGCAGGCAGCCTCTTTCTGAACCCTTCCTCCTTCCCAAGCTCCCAGATGACTAGGGCTTACAGAGGTCTGGTCAACCCCTTCATGGGCTCTGGGGGGGTCCTGGGACTGGGTCAGAAGAGGTGGCCCAGTGCTTGGTGGTGTCCACTGTGAGGCGACAGTGGGGGTCTTCCAAGTCTGGGCTCCTTGTAGATTAAAAATTCTCCTTTGCCCCCAGACCTGAGGGGGCCAGGGGACCTTGTCTGCCCCAGGTCCTGTGAGGTAGCCCAAGCGGCTGGCCTGTGCTGCAGGGACTGGCCATGCCAGGAGGCAGCACTAGTGCCAGGTGGCAGACAAAGAGACGTCCAGAAGACTCACTCCAGGGACCTGCTCCCAATGCCCAGCCCCAAAGCCTGACGCCTGAGGCCCTGCTGACCCGGGTCAGCCCACTCAGTAATGGCAACTTCCCACACAAGCCCTGAGGTCTAAGGCCCCTGTCCTGCTTATCTGTCTAGTGACTGCCCACTTCACACTGTGTCCCCTTCTCGGGCCTCCTCGGGACAAGAGTATAGGTCTTGCTGCCCCCAACACACACCTGCAGGACTCAAGCCTCCCAGAGCAGAGCCTGGCAGACAGCGAATGCCCACTGGCCCATTGGGCAGACCCACGATCCCAGGGGCCATGTAGATGCCTTCCTGCCCTGCTTTGCCTGTGGTGTCCAGGAGTCTTTAGCAAACCCTGCTTAGAGCCCCGAATGCACAGTGGGGACAAACAGGGCTGCTCTGGGAGCCGGGGGCCAGCGCAGGCGAATAGCCTGGGGCCCGTGGGCCGGACTGTGGCCAGCAGTGAGGACAAACAGG